TTGTAATGTGACAAAATATGGAAAAGTTCAAGGGGTATGAATACTTTTGCAAACCACTGTAAATATGTATATATGTATGAATGTAACAATTTTCTTTTGAACAGAAAATAGATGAGTATGGTTTTAATTATTTTTAACAAGACTTTGGATTAATATAAGTTGCTGGTTCAGTATTTTTTGAGGATTAGTAAAATCATAAACATGCTTGTTTTTAAGCATTCAGATTTACTCGTTGCTGTAGTTTCTTTTGGGCAGTTAAAAAAAAGCAGCAGTTGCAGGCCTCCCCCCTCGAGAGCAGCTGTCAGGTTCAGCAGACCCACATCTTCCTTGTTTCCATCCAGGTAAACTGTCAGAGATGAAATCAACCTGGTCTCCAGGCCCCATCGCTCARAGCCAGCCTTCTCTGTCCCACGAGCTGTGGAAGGTCCCCCAGGGCCCACGGAGCAGCACCACTGCGCCCTCCCGCCCCCCACCTGGCCTCACGAACACAAAGCCCTCCTCCACCTGGGGTGGGAACTCTCTGGGTCTGGCACAAGGCTGGAGCAGCTCCTACGCCACAGGTAGGGTTACAGTGACACATCAGGAGCTTTGGCGTTTCTGTCTTTTTCCTCCAGCTGTAAAATATGAATCAAATCTGTTTCGGAGCAGATTTGTTCAGTTTTGTCTGAAACGTGTTGCTAAATAGTTTATTTCAGTTCCTGGATTTTTTTCTTTATGGGCTCATTTTAAAGCAAATCTCAATTATGGCAACATTTTTTTTTTTTTTTTTTGCGCTGCAGCCTGGGCGTATCCCAAATCATTTAGCCTTCACTGGTCACACACACAACGCTCAGAGGTAAGAGGTGCTTTGATGTGGCTTACAACCAGATCCCAGCAGTGACGGCAGCAAGCAGGCAGCCCCTCAGAGGGCGTGCACATCCTGAAAAAATAACAGTATCTTGTGGTTGTGTCAACTGACTTCCAAGTTGTATTTTTTTTCTCAGCTGTAATCGACGCCACCCTTTCTGCCTCAGTAACTGACTCTGGTTTCAGACCAGCTTGAGACGTATAAACTTTTTTTTATTTTTTATTTTTTCCCCCACACAGCAGGTACCACATGGAGTACGGACAGCTCTAACCGGACCAGCAGCTGGCTGGTTCTGAGAAACCTCACTCCACAGGTCAATGCTTGTTTTTGTTTTTTTTCTGCTGTTTATCATCTACAATCCCTGGCAAAAAGTATGGAATCACCAGTTTTGGCTGAYCACTCATTCAGACATTTCATTCTGTAAAACAAACTCAGATCAAAAACAAGATACAATAATAAGGTCATTCCAAAGTGCAARTTGTTGGCTTTCYGGAACCCTCAAAGAAATGAAGYGAAAACATTGTGGAAGTCAGTGAATGTTACTTTTATTGACCAAGCACAGGTAAAAAAAAATATGGAATCACTCAATTCTAAGGAAAAAAATATGGAGTCACTCAAATTGGAGGTAGAAAATAAGACACACCCAGTCAATTCTCTTTCCCTAAATGGACACCTGCTTCAGATTAGATCTGATGTGATGTATTTTGAATGGTCTTTTGTTTATCTGTTTTTCATGATTCCATACTTTTTTCCTCAGAATTGAGTGGTTCCATATTTGTTTCCCTGTGCTTCGTCAATAAAAGTAACATTCACTGACTTCCACAATGTTTTCTCTTCYRTTCTTTGAGTGTTCCTAAAAGCCAACAAATTGCACTTTGGAATGACCTTATTATTGTATCATGTTTTTGATCTGAGTTTGTTTTACAGAATGAAATGTCTGAATGAGTGCTCATCCAAGACTGGTGATTCCATACTTTTTGCCAGGGGTTACATATGCTTTCTCAGCACAAATGTGTCCTAACTCATAACATGGGCGTGATTATCTCCAGATTGATGGTTCGACTCTGCGTACACTGTGCATGCAGCACGGCCCACTCATCACATTCCACCTCAACCTGACACAGGGAAACGCCGTGGTGCGCTACAGCTCCAAGGATGAAGCTGCTAAGGCTCAAAAGTCCCTGCACATGTAKGTCATGCTTTAGAGGACAAGTTTAGTTGATCTTTTCAGACTGTTTTTATTGAAGAAGGTTTTTAATCTCTGTCCAGGTGTGTGCTTGGGAACACCACCATCCTTGCAGAGTTTGCAGGGGAAGAGGAAGTCAACCGCTTCTTTGCACAGAGCCAGTCGCTCGGTGGAACCACCAGCTGGCAGGCCACTCCAGGCACCAACCAGACGAGGATGGGGGGAGCCGGGTCCGGAGCCGCTCACCCTATCGGCCACTCACCTCACTGGAACAACAATAACAACGGCGGCGTAAGCGGCGGCAGTAGCGGGCTCGGAGCGGCTGGAACGAAATCGGGAGGAGAGCTGCTTTGGGGCGGAGTTCAGCAGTATTCCAGCTTGTGGGGACCCCCGAGTGGAGAGGAGGGACGGGTCATGGGGAGCCCCACGCCAATCAACACGCTGCTGCCTGGTGACCTGCTGAGTGGCGAGTCCATGTAGGAAAAAAAACAACGACCACACACCGGAGCAAAAACCTTTCAAATCAATGTGGAGATAATCAGTGTAAAGACGAGGAGGAGGACGAGGCTTCATTTCTGCTGCTTGGCTTCGTCAGCCTCCTCCGCTCTTTGTGTTTGAAAACATTTCAGTTGCAGTTATTTTGTGTGAATCTCAGTGAGAGATTTTGATCGCAGTGTTCAACCTTTTGCTCCTGAAGACACAAWAAGAAGTCGTTAATTTATCAAAAAACAGAAGAAAAAAAACAAACAAAAAAAAACATTTTACAAAAGTGAACTTTGGAGAAGCGGCCGTGTGAAACTAACTTTAGTTAAACTGACACAGTGAGAAGCTGCCATCTTTGAACTTATGTAATCCCTCACTGCCTTCACGGGCAATCATAATGCACCTCAGAGATCCATAAAAACAAAAGAAGGCATCATTCCCAAAGTCAAAAACCCTTCAATCACAGTGGTTGTTGAACTCTCTGCTAGTCCAGACTCCATGTTTGTTTTCTCTCAGCACTAAAAATTAGCCTTAAACGATTTCCTGCCCTGTTATCCTCACTCAGTCTTGCACACCTTTATTTCTGAGCCAGTGAAACCTGAGTGGAAAGGACGTGCTGCCGCGGCTTAAACAACCACAGCTTACTACTTTGGTGCGTTTTGTTTTGTTTTGTTTTATTGCAGTTCGATGGAGTTCCCTCACACAACACTCAAAYGGAATGATGCAACTTTGTTCGCCTTGTCCAAGCCATTTATTTTTCTAGTATTTTTTTTCATCATTTTTCTTAAACCATTGCAAACAAAGCTTAGAGAAGATATTATCAGATGTGTTTGTCAATCTTATCCGGTGGGGAAGGG